ATTGGGGTGAAGAGAAAAGAAGGAAACAAACAACAAGAAACTCTAAATGATAGTGAACAAACTATGGATTGACGGAGGTGGAAGGGAAATGGGCTAGATGGGTAATGGGTACTAAGGAGTACACTTGTCGTGATGAGCACTGGATGTTGTATGTAAGTGATGAATCACTGAATTCTACTCCTGATACCAATATTGCACTGTATGTTAACTAACTAAAATTTAATTTAAAAAAAGTTAAAAAGAAAAGAACAAGAACTGCCATATGACTATAGTTAATAATTCATATTGCGTATTTGAAAGTTGCTAATAGACTAAATCTTTTTTTTTTTAATTTTTTTTCAACGTTTTTTATTTATTTTTGGGACAGAGAGAGACAGAGCATGAACGGGGGAGGGGCAGAGAGAGAGGGAGACACAGAATCGGAAACAGGCTCCAGGCTCCGAGCCATCAGCCCAGAGCCTGACGCAGGGCTCGAACTCACGGACCGCGAGATCGTGACCTGGCTGAAGTCGGACGCTTAACCGACTGCGCCACTCAGGCGCCCCAACTAATAGACTAAGTCTTAAAAGTCCTCATGACAAGGGAAAAAATTGTAACTGGGTATGGTGACAGATGTTATTATGGTGATCATTTGGCAGTACATACAAATATCTAATCATTAAGTTGTACGCCTGAATCTAACATTATATGTCAATTATTCCTCAATAAAGACAGAACAAAAACAAACAAAAAACTACAGTGATCAAGAGTTGGCATAAAATATTGTAATAAAAACAAGCAAATATTAATGGAACAGAATATACGGTCTAAAAATAAGCACATGCAGACACAATCAATTAATTTTTGACAAAAAGACCAAGATGTAAATGATAGTATCTTCAATAAATCATGTTTGAAATATGAGATTGCTACAGGGAACAAAATAAAACTGACATCTATCTCACACCATAAACAAAAGTCAACTAAAGTACACTTGAATGTAACATCTCAAACTGTAAAATTCCTAGAAGAAAATGGACACAATAATTTCCTTGACAGTGGTCTTGGTAATGATTTTTTACTGTCATTGAAAGCAAAGGCAGCAAAGGAAAAAATATACAAGTAGAAGTACAACAAAACTAAAAGGCCTCAAGTTAGCAAATGAAACCATCCACAAAATGAAAATACAAACTATGGAATGGGAAACCATTCCAAGCCAAATATCGATAAGTGGTATTATCTAAAATACACAAGAAATCTTACAACTCAGTAGCAAGAAAATATTTTTTTAGTGGACTTGAACAGACATTTTTCCAAGGGTCATATACACATGGCCAACAGGTACATGAGAAGGTGCTCAGCATCACGAATCATCAAGGAAATGCATATCAAAACCATAAGATACCAAATCATATCTGTTAGGATGGCTATTATAAAAAGATAATAGATAACAAATGCTGGCAAAGATGTGGAGAAAAGGGAGCCCTCATATAGTGTTTATGGCAATGTAAACTGGTACAGCCAGTATGAAAAATAGTTTGGAGTTTCCTCAGGAAATTAAAAATAGGACCATCACATGTTCTAGCAATCTCACATATAGCTGAATAGCCAAAAGAAATTAGATCAGTATCTTGAGGATATTTAATTATAGCACTATTCACAACAAGCAAGATATGAAAACAATCTACATGTCCAGCAATAGATAAATGGATCAAAAAAGTGCTATGTATCCAATGGAATATTGTTAAGCTTTAAAAAAGAAAAAAAATCCTGTCATTTGTGGCAATTTGGATGCACCTGACCAGCTCTATGCTGAGTGACATGAGCCAGACAAAGAAAGACACATACTAAACCGTATCACTTATTTGTGGAATAAAAAAAAAGTTAAATTCATAAAAACAGAGAGTATAAAAATAGTTGCGAGTGAGAAATACAGAAATGTTAGTAAAAGGGTACCAAGTTTTCAGTTTTAAGATGAATAAAGGTCCAAGTATCTAATGTAATATGGTGACCACAGTTAATAACATTGTATTGTATAATTGAAATTTGCTAAGAGAGTAGAACTTAAATGTTCTCAGATACATACACAAAGGATAAACATATGAAATGATGAATGTGCTAATTAAGTCAATGGGGAAAATTCTTTCACAATATATACACATATCAAATCACCACTTTGCACACTTTAACTGTCTTACAATTTTATTAGTCAATTATACCCCCAATAAAACTGAAAAAGTATAGTAACTTAAATAAGTCTGGAGACATACTACACAACATAGTTACTATAACTAAAAATGTGGTATTGTACACTTAAAATTTGCTAAGTGGTAGTACATATAATAAGCATTCTTGCCACAAAATATTTTAAAATAATATAATAAATTATTTATATTATTATTAATATTATTATTATATACATAGGCAGGAGGAGACTTTAGGAAGTGGTGGATATGTTTATGTCCTTGATGGTGCTGATGGACTCATTGAGTATGTGCTTATCCCCAAATTCATCACATTGGGTACATTAAATATGTATAGCTTGGTAGGTGTTAATTATAACTTAAAGTGGCTTAAAAATAGATCCAAATTCAAGAACTAATATGAAAAGAGAAAATATAAAAAACATTAAGATAGGGTCATGTGATCCAAGGAGAAGCAGGATTTTCCTTAACCTCCAAAGACGCAGTTAGAAAAAAATGTGAAATCCTTTGGTAAGCACCACACTCAGCATACTTATAAAAAGACTTGGTTCCATTATGAAGATTTTAAGTATCTGAAGAAAGAGTCTAGTTGGGTGGGACTAGGATAGTATCCACAACTTTGCATCCACATGAGTTTACTATAGAATAAGTATTGTTGGAGAACAAGAAGCCGGAGGCACCGTAAGAATGTTCGGAAGGAAAGGGACGGAGCAGCAAGGAAGTGAGAGCAGTTCCATTCCCAGGTGGAAAGCCACTGGGACTGCATGTTCTCTCCAGAAGGACATAAAACGGCACCAGGCCAGGGATAAGAATGTTTTATCTGGTGCCAGACGTACTCATGACCCAGTATGGAATACACTGCAGGTGCACGACCTGTCAAGATGACAAATATGATCTTGTATGTGCTTGCTGTTATCAGACAAGTTGCAAAAATAAAAGAGGCTTGAGCCAGGAGACCAGTGCTTCGCCTCCTGGAGAGTCTTAGCCCCCTGCTCTGTAAGTCTCTCGACCACGCAACTTTAGGCCCTGTCTCTCTTCAAAGTATGACATGTAGAAGATGCAGAATTAAAAGACTATGTCTGGGATCACAAAGTGAATACTGATGAGGGGAGATCTCAGAAGGAGACCCTGTATAATCTCTAAAAGACAAGATATTATGAGTCACATCATGTTAAATACAATTACAGAGCAGCAGTGATCAGGCTGAGTTACACCACAGTGGATGCCAACAAAAATAGGAGGTGGTGGTAAACAGACATGCTTAAATCTCTTTCCCTGTTGACAAGAAGGCATGTTGGCTGCACTTCATCTAAGTAAGATTATTTGTGAAAATATGAACAAAAAAGATGGAAGAAACTGTGAAACTCTAGCAAGCATGACTTATCCATATTTCATCTGAAATTATAATACTTATATTTTCCTGAAATAAAATCACTAGATGAGACTGGAATTCATTAGCACAATTCATCTGTGCTAAGACAACTGTGATTCCTTTCCAGAAAAGAAGAGCCTGTTAGTTCCAAGAATTCAGCCATAAATGCAAATTTTGAGAGAATAGATTGTGGAGGAAGTGTCTGTACTCAATGGCCAAACTAGAAAGAGACCTACTATGTGCAAAGCTGGTTTAAGATATATTCCATGGAAAGAGAGTAGAACCACAACCAAAAGAAGTATCTACAACTAAGATAGACACATTAGGCTGGAAAGGAGAAAAGCTTGAAAAGAGATTTAGATTTTGGCTCTCAACTTCACTTGAATCTTCACCTGGTACCATGAAACTAATCCCTGTTATATTAAAGAACCCAACATGGTCTTTCAGGAAAAATGAATAAAATTTTCTAAGGGAACACTTTTAAAGAAATACTAATGGCATGCTTGGCAAGATTATATCAAAGTTAAGAATAGTTGTTTCCATTGAAAATGAGAAATGATAGATTTGAGTGATTCCAAGAGCAAGAAGTGACATAGATTACTTTTTAGGGCATAGTCTAGGGATATTGTAAGTCTTAGAGAAGCCAGTATTCTATTCAGGGATAGGTTACTCTCTAGGAGGCAAAGCACTGGTCTCCTGGCTCAAGCCTCTTTTATTTTTGCAATTTGTCTGATAACAGCAAGCACATACAACGTAGTATTTGGCATCTTGACAGGTCGTGCACCTGCAGTGTATTCCATACTGGGTCATGAGTACGTCTGGCTAAATAAACTGTTCATGGGATAATGTTTGGAATGCTTGTGGCACAAAGGGGATCTCAAAGTTCCTTAATTCTCAAGAGAGAAGTCCAGAACTACTGAAAGGATTAGCATGAAGAGTCTGTATACTATAGAGATGTATTGACTAAGGTTCATACCAGGGATGGTGGAAATAAACAAAAGGGGTTCAAAAGATACATAAATAGAGTTAATAAATGCAATCAGCTGCTTTCAGGAAATGTTGGGTAACCAATGACCAGACTGGCTAAGCTATATCAAAGTGGAGGCAGGTGATGAATTTTCCTAAAGAATATGGTAAAATATGATGAGTGCTCTAGGTCAACTGGAGGCTAGACAAAAAGTTGAGTTCTGAAATAGGAAATGAAGTCATGACTGCAAATTTGTGTTCAGCATACAGTATTCAATTCGGTTCCAGTGCTAATCAATAAGATTGCATTCTGTTGGTGGGCACCAAAGGATAATGTTATCTTGTCATTTTTTTCTGGCAAATTTTTATACCATCAATTAAATAATATTTATGTTGTCAATCAAGTAATACAATATTTATTTGGAACATGGTATCATTAAAAGACAAAATGATAAGGAATTTTCTGTTTTTCATTTCAGGGATGTTCTCTGTGGAAAATTAGCTTGTGTTTGGCCACATAAGAATACTTATAAAAATGATGTTCAACCTGCAGTTTATTCATACATTCAAGGGCATGTATGCATATCTATAGCCACTGGGTCATCAGTGAAATCAGATGAAAGAGATTATTCCTATATTGCTGATGGCACTGTTTGTGGGGCACAAATGGTAACAAAATATGTTCATTTCTATTTAGCTGTGTTAAATTACATAATTATCAAATACTATATTCCATGATTACTATCACAGTATATTGAATGGATTTGAACCTGGTGCTGCAACTTACTTCCCATACAATATTGAAAAGATAATTAAACTAGGCCTTGGTTATCCAATAACTTTGCTTTTTGGAAGTTGCAACTTGTCGATCCTTATATGAAAAAAATATATATGTAAGCACAGCATTCCACTAAACTGACAGGTGATTTTTTTTACTATATCTCTGAATTCTAACAACTTTTAGTCATAAAATTCTGAGTTTTCAATGTTTCCTGCTAAACCATCTTTTTACATGTATGGTCAAAGTATAAGTATGAGAAGTTTGAAAGAACCAAATTAAGTCTATACCAGGGAAGCATAGTTATGGTGGTGTACAAGTTTCTGTCCATACGCATATATACATACATATGAGCATTTGTACTCATATAGTCATAAAATAAAGGGAGAACAAAAATGGCTCAGAGGCTATTAGTCAATTTGGAAATACAAGTGCACACATTCCAGAAAATATAAGGCAACTAAGATTTAAAGCAGCAATTATGCATCAGTGTGCTACATGTAAATAACAAATTTACTTGCTTAATTAAAAATAAAATGAAACCTTGAAAAGGTGAATCAATTAGCCAATTCTTTTTTTTTTATTTTATGCCTTATGTTCGTTCATTTTTATTGAGGTATATTTGAAATAAATTTTTTATCAGTTTCAGGTGTACAACATAATAATTAGACATTATACACATTGTGAAATAATCACCACAATAAGTCTAGTTGTCATCTGTCACCTACAGTGTTAATACATTTTTTACTATATTCCTCATGCTGTGTATTATATCCCTAAGACTTATTTCATACCTCTATGCTTGTACTTTTTAATCTCCTTCATCTCTTTTTCTCTACTCAATCCCTTCTCCTCTGACAATGACCAATCTGTTCTGTGACTGTAAGTCTGAGTTTTATTTTGATTGTTTCGGGTTTTTTGTTTTGTTTTTAGTTGTTGTTGTTGTTGTTGTTTTTAGATTCCATATACAGATGAAATCATATGGTATTTGTCTTTCTATCTCTGAATTATTTCACTTGCATGATACCCTTAACTTTCATCCATGTTATCACAAATATCAAGATTTGCTTCTTTTTTTGTGGTTAACTAGTATTTCATTGTATATATATATATATATATATATATATATATATATATATATATACCACATCTTCTTTATCCACTCATTTATGGTAGGACATTTGGGTTGCTTCCATATCTTGGGTATTGTTAATAATGCTGCAGTGAACAGAAGGCTGCACATATCTTTTCGAATTAAAGTTTTTTATTTTCTTCAGATAGATATCCAGTAGTGGAATTGATGGATCATATGGTTGTCCTATTTTTTAATATTTTGAGGAAACTCCATACTATTTTTCATAAGGGATACACCAATTTATATTCCCAACAGTGCACAAGATATCCCTTTTCCCCACAGCTTCACCAGCACTCATTATTTCTTGTCTTTTTGATTCTAGCCATTCTGACAATTGTAAGGTGATGCCTCATTGTAGTCTTGATTTGTATTTCTCTGATGAGTAGTGATGTTGAGCCTCTTTTCATGTCCCCTTTGGCTATTTGTATATCTTTTTTGGAAAAATGTCTTCAATCCTTTGTTCATTCTTTAATTGGATTGTTTTTCTGTTATTGAGTTGCATGAATTCTTTATATATTTTGGGTATGAGCCCTTTATTGTATATATGATTTGAAAATATGTTTTTACAATAGGTTGCATTTTAGTTTTCACTGTGCAAAATGTTTTTAGTTTTATGTAGTCCCATGTTCATTTTTACTCCTCTTTCCTTTGATGTCAGATTCCAAATAAAATCTTTAAGACTCTAGAAATTTTATGGTTTCAAATATTACATTCAAGTCTTTAATATATTTTGATTTAATCCTTATGCATGTTAAGATGGCAGTCCAGTTTTATTCTTTTTCATGTAGCTGTCCAGTTTTCCCAATATCTTCTTGAAGACACTGTACTTTACTATTTTATATTTTTGTCTCCTTTGTAAATTAATTGACAACATATACCCGGTTGTATTTCTGAGCTCCCTATGCTGTTCCATTGGTTTATATGCCTATTTTGATTCCAGTACCACACTGTTTTACTTGTGGTAGCTCTTTAGTCTAGTTTGAAAATAGAAAACATGGTATCTCCAGCCTTGTCCTTCTTTTTTAGAATTGCTTTGTCTGTTCAGTGTCATTTGTGGTTCCATACAAATTTTAGAGTTGTTTTTGTTTCCATTTTGGTGATGAATGCCTTTGGAGTTTTGATAGGGATTGAATTTAATCTACAGATTGCTTTGGGCAGTATTGATATTTTAACAATATTAATTATTCTACTGCATGAGCCCTGAATATCTTTCCATTTATTTGTGTCTTCAATTTCATTTATCAATGAAACTGTAGTTTTTAATGTATATGACTTTCACCTCCTTGGTTAAATTTATCCCTAGGTATTTTATTCTTTCTGATGCAATTGTCAATGGGATTTTTAAATTTCTCTTTCCGATAGTTGTATGTAGAAATGCAACAGGTTTTTTATGTTGGTTTTTTTATCCAGTAACCTTACTGAATTCCTTTATTAGTTCTAACAGTTTTGTAGTGGAGTCTTTAGGATTTTCTATATATAATATCATGTCATCTATAAATAGTTTTACTTCTTCCTTTCCACTTTGAATGTCTTTTGTTTTTTGTTATCTAATTGCCGTGGCTAGGACTTCCAAAACTGTGTTGACTGAAAGTGGGGAGAGTGTTCATTCTTGTCTTGTTCTTGATCTTAGAGGTAAAACTTTCAGCTTTTCATCATTGAGTGTATTAGCTGTAGGTTTGTAATATATGAAATTTATTAAGTTGAAGTATGTACCGTCTATAGATACTCTGTTGGGAGTTTTGTTTATCATAAATGAATGATGAATTTTATCAAATTCTTTTTCTGCATCTATTAAGATGATTATATTATTTTTCTTTTGTTAATTTGGTATATCATGCTAACTGATTTGCTGATGGTGAACCATCCCTACATCACTGGAATAAATCCCACTTTGATCATGTTATATAATCCTTTTAATGTTTTGTTGAATTCAGTTTGCCAACATTTTATTGAGGATTTTTGCATCTATGTTCACCAGAGCTATTGACCCACAAATTTCTTTTCTTGTGTTTTTGTCGGGTTTTAGGATCAGGATAATTTTGGCCTTATAAACTGAATTTGGAAGTGTTTCCTATACAATTTTGGAAGAGTTTGAAAAGGATAGGTATTAAATCTTCTTTGAATGTTTGATAGAATTTACCAGTGAAGATGTTTGGTCCTGAACTTTTTGCTGATGGTATTTTTTTTTTTTAACTGAACAAATTTCTTACTTGTAATTGATACTCAGATTTTCTATTTATTTATGATTCACTGTTGACACATTATAAGTTTCTAAGAATTTATACATTTTCTCTAGGCTGTCCAATATATTGGTGTAAAATTGGTTCTAATATTCTCTTATGATCCTTTGTATTTCTGTGATAGCAGTTGTAACTTCTCTTTCATATCTGATTTCATCTACACAAGAACACTCTTTTTTTCTTGGTGAGTCTAACTAAATATTAGCCAATTTTGTTTATATTTCCAAAGAACTAACTCTTAGTTTGATTAATATTTTCTATTGTCATTTTAGTCTCTAGCTCATTTATTTCAGCTCTGATCTCTATTATTTCCTTCCTTCTACTAACTTCAGCCTTCGTTTGTTCTTCTTTTTCTAGTTCCTTTATGTGTAAAGCTAAATTGTTTGAGATTTCTCTTGTTTCTTATGGTAGCCTATATTGCTATAAACTGCCCTCTTATAACTGCTTTTGCACCATCCCATACATTTTGGTAAGCAGTATTTCTGTAATTATTTGTTTATTGGGATTTTTAAAATTTTAAAGTATCATGTTGTTTAATCTCCATGTATGTGTGTTTTTTTCCAGTTTTATTCTTGTGATTGATTTCTGGTTTCATACCATTATGGCCAGAACAGATGCTTAATATGATTTCAATCTTCTTAACTTTACTGAGTCTTATTTCATGGCATAACATGTGATCTATCCTAAAGAATATTGCATATGCACTTGAGAAAAATGTTTATTCTCCTTTTGGATGGAATATTCTCTATGTATCTATTAAGTCCATCTGGTCTATATAATGTTTAATGCTAAAGTTTCCTTTTTTATTCTTTGTCTTGATGATCTATTCATTGATTTTAGTGGGATGTTAAAGTGTCATACTCTTATTGTATTTCTGTCAATTTCTCCTTTTAGTTCTATTAACACTTGCTTCATGTTTTTTTTGGTGCATATTGGGTGCATATATGTTTATATGTCTTCTTGCTTGATTGACACTTTTATCATTATATAGTGTCTCTTTTTGTCTTTTATTAGTAGTCTTTGTTTAAAAGTCTATTTGTCTGTTAAGACTATACTTATCTTGATGAGCACTGAGTAATATATGGTACTGTTGAATCACTATGTTGTACAAATGAAACTAATATAACACTGTATGTTAACAACATTGGAATTAAAATTAAAAAATAACAAAAGTCTATTTGTCTGATATGAATGTAGCTATACCAACTTTCTTCTTGTTTCCATTTGCATGAGCTGTCTTTTTCTATTCCTTCATTTTCAGTATGCATGTGTCCTTGCTTCTAAAGTAAGTGCCACGTAGGCAATATATAGATGTGTTTTGTTATTTTATCCATTCAGCCACTCTCTGTCTTGATTAAATATTTAGTCCATTTACAAATAAAGTAAATATTGATGCATATGTGCTTATTTCCATGTTGTTCATTGTTTTCTGGCTGTTATTGTAGCTTGTGTCTTTTTTTCCTGTTTTCTTGCCTCTGTGTTTTGATGAATTTCTTAAGTGTTATGTTTACATTTC